TTTTTCTTACCATGTTTTTTTTTAAATGAAAATATTATTGCTCCTTCCGTGGATATTTGCGCCAGAGCCACACTTAAGGAGCCAAAGAGCCACATGTGGCTCTGGAACCACACTTTGCCGACCACTGACCTATGCAATCAAATTCTCAAATCTTTCGTTATAAAAGTGTTAACCAGGGATTTTTTCTATAAATATTCATATCCAATGACTTTATTTACCTTTTTTTCCCCCTTTTTACCACTTGATTTTAAAATACTATTATTATTTAACAATATTTGTAAAAGTTGCATATGCTTAGAAATTTCTTAAAATGCTTTAAAATGAATGTAAAGGTTTATTTACTTCATTAATGTATTTTACCGTCATCACATAAAACATTAAACATTCGAAAAGATTTTAAGGAAAAGATTTAAGGATTATTTTTTAAGGATTATTTTTAGAAAAATTAATTTAGAATATAAAAAGAATTATAAAGAAGAACATAAAAGGAAAAACCCTTTCAAGATAATGTTCTTTATGTTTGCCTAAAAAAACTTAGATTCAGAATAAATGATAGAAAAATAATGATTTAATCATACTTTTTGAAATAATTAATACTGAAAAACTAATTATAAATGAAGTATTAGCTGCTTACTAATTATAAAAACTAATAAAATAACTAATATGGGAAAAATAGTGACGAAAAGGAACTTAAATTAAAATATTTGAATATTAATTTCGATACTGCCTCTAGTAATGTTACGCAGTTATAGTTAAATTCATAAAAAAAGTAATTTTTAAATTTTTTTCCTAGTTATTTCACTATTAGAAATTTTTTTTAGTTAAAGTTAATAATAAAGAACTACATATTTTTAACCGGCACTTGTACTACATCTTTTGATTTAATGTAAAGGTGCGTAGGTTTAAGGGAAATCTTCGTATTTGTTTTTATTTTTAATATTTTTAATTCCATAATAATTTATTAGTTTAATATTTTTTGGTTTATTATGCGACTAATTAAAATTTAACAACAAACTAAATTAGTTTGTTATTGAATCAATCTCTTAATGGATATTAGTTTAACTAATATCCATTATGAGTTTGATTAATCAATTAGCACAAATAATAAACACATTTTAGTTGGTTACATTAAACTATAAATAAGGGCAAAATAAAATACAATCAAAAGAACTATTCTTAAAGTGACAGTACATTTCCCCCCTTTTTTACACCCATCTTAATTTCAACTTAAAATTGCTATAGTTTTCCTTCAAATCAGAATTTTGAACTTCATAAACAAATGTGGCCCTTTCAGCACGTCAAAGTTTAACTCGGTAAAGCCGATTCCGCTGTCTGTAAAGCGGGCCGGATGGTATTTTTTATTACAAGTTTAACAGTTTATTATCGAACTCATTATGAATGTGATATATTGTAGTACGTTTGTATAACTTTCTACATCCTTGTGTAGTTTTACGTTTTTAAGTTTTAGCACAGCTAAGCAAAATGTAACGTACAGTTGAACACCCAAAGCAGCGGTAGCTGCATTAATGACTTTTTAAATATAGAGAGAAATTTATCAATCTCGAGATTTTCCTTTTGTAATCTTGCACTTGATTTGATGTCAGAAGTTACGAAAAATGAGATATTGAAATAAAAGAAAAAATAATAACAGAGGGCGAAGGAGATTAAATATTATCAGTTATAAATCTTAAAATGTGTATGGAAATTTTGAAAAATATAAAAGACTCAAAAGAGATAAAAAAACCGTTTCAAATTTAAGCTGTTACGCAATGTAAGATTACTGTTATAGATCAGGGGTTTCCAACTTGCATGAGGCCGGGGGCCGCAATTAAAAACACAAATCAAATAGCGGGCCGCAACTTTATCAAAATTTTTTGTAGGACGCTTTTATGTTTGAAGGAACATTAAATATTAGGTACTGTCAGAGTTTTACCAAGTTGTACAAAACAAAAGTATCGAATTACTAATTAAAATAAGAAGTAGATTTTTAAAAATATTCAATTGTTATTAATAATATTTTTAGGAATGTTAAATAAATAATAAAAATTCGGGCTACAATAACTTAATGTGCACCTATGCATTAATGTGCAACAGATATCTAAATGTTAAGGTAGTAAAACTTAGATAGTAGCGCACAAAATATTCAATGAGAAAATTGAGGTTTGTCTGCTGCAACCACCAGAGAATGGATATTTACATTTTAAATTTAAAATTTACAAATGTGAGTGAAAATATTTTCGTCCAAAATTAGTGGTTTCAAAAAGTTAAATCGGAGAATTTCTTCGAGAAAATATCTGATACGCACATGCTAAGTTATATTCACAAAGTACAAAAAAAATGAAATAAAAAAGAGCGATTATTTTGGTATTTGAATTAATATTTTCTTGGGTGCAAAACCTGAAAAATAAATTTCTTTGCACCGTTGGTATGTTAAATTTCACAGAAATGAAAAAATTAGGTTTTTATTAACGAGAAAAGTATTTTAAACCCATATAGATTTTTTATGAAAATTGTCCGCCAAAAAATGAGAACTAATAAACAGTTCGCGGGCCACAAAAAAAGGCTTCGCGGGCCGGATGCGGCCCCCGGGCAGCCAGATGGAAACCCCTGTTATAGATGATTTTTAACACGTTAAATAGCTTCTCATTCATTACTTCTTACTGTGGTGAACAATCTCTCCAAATTTATTTTCAAACACAAGTGATTATTTTTCAAATACAAGTAATGGTTCATATTTGTTTCCAATAACATGTTAACAAAATGTTCTTGCATAAAATAATAATATATATATATACATATTTTAGAAATGAACTAATACTGTTGATCACCGTAATCAGTTGATCTTGTTAAATATCAACTATAGAATTTTTTAAAAAATCAACGAATGAACGAGAGACAATCATGCCAGTCAGTAATCAAATCAAGCAGGTATCGAAACAACCTTCAAGTCTTTATACTAAACAAATAAATGACAAAAACGAATATTTCGTCATTTATTGAACTATTTTTACTTGTTAAAGCACAAAAGTTTTTTTTTCATTTTATATCACTGATAAAATCCATAATTTTCTTTAAATATTTGTGTTAAACTTCTAAATTAGAATTTAAAAGATTTAATTTTCGATTACGAATTCGATTCGATTCGAATTACGATTAATTTTATTTTTTTCTAATTTAAAGTACATGAATACTAAAAAAAACAAATATACATTGCTTTGATCGACAACTAAGATGTTTTATTGAATTGGAAGCGATAATTTCTTTGAAAAAATTCCTTTGACATAAAATGTAGTAAGTTTTTTTATTGCTAGTTTGACTACTTATTCAGGAAAAAAGATGTAATAGGAGATTCTCGAACAATGTGAAGATTTTTATTTGAACTTACTCTTCAAATAAATTTAATTTGGAAAAAGAAAAAATGTATACATATAACTTTTTCAGTTCGAAATTCTTGCATGCATTTTACTTTATTTTACAAAAAGAGCTTCAATGTAGTTTCGAGTTTTATATCATTAAAGTTATCAACAAGGCTGATGTGTACAACTTCCATTTTGAAATAAGTTTACATAGTTATATTTTTTCTTATTTTAAATTTCAAAATTTCGTTGCACTTTTTTTGAAATGTTGGAATTTTAAAAAAGGAAATAAAAGCAATCAAACTTACATTTTTGCTGTGTGCCTAAGTTAATTGTTTTTCGATTTGTCTTGTTCGAAAATTGGATTTTATGTTGAATGAATCATGTTATTTGGAGGGATAATGTGTAAATGATATGTTTTATTGTTGAATGAATGAATAAATTAAACGTTGTTGAATGAATAATATTTTTTAACCCGCACTTTAATATCGCCGTTTATAGAGGACAGCCACAATTTGTTGAATTTTTAAAGCAAATATTGTAATATTTAATTATTTTTCACTTCTAAAATAAAATTTTAAATGAATTGACATTAATTAAACACATTTTATGATTAATTTTAAGTTTTTCACATTTTTAATTTTGGATTTTTGAAAATAGCTAATTTTTACTAATTTATTTGACTCGAATTAAAATTTCCTTTTAAATAATTGCAAGAAGGAAACAACAAATTTGTTTTGAAATTTATTAACCCCAAACTCTTAATATTACATTTGAGTAAAAACTGAATCGAAAAATGTGTATTTAAGCTGGTTTTACAAGTAATTTAGAAACTGTCCTATATAGAGGACAAAGGTAAAATCCCCTACTATAGGCACCCACATGAGAAAATAAATTGCATCTGGGTTTCTCTGAACGCAAGTCCAGAGTTTGCTTTTAGAACAATTGAATTTTAACAATTGCAGAGGCTCATGACTAATGCCCTTGAGCAATGGATTTGATGATAGTGAACGAAAAATGGTTAAATTGCAGTCTTGATGTAGACATAGACACTGATGACTGCATTAGCATTGAACATGGGCACTCTATATATGATGAAAAACCACCAGAAGAAACTGCAGGAGCTAGCGACAAGGCAAAAAACTACTGAAGAAATAAATATTTCATGACCAAAATGGACTAAGTTACTTCATAGTGAACATCGTCAAAAAATGGTGCGCATGATTTCAGGAATGATGGCTAAAAATATTATTGCATAAATAGTACATGAAAGTTACAAGTATGCTAGACAAAAAAAAATAATCAAGAATTTCATCTAAAAACTGATAAATGCAAGCAATTTTTGGGAATTATATTCTTTAGCGGTTATCACATTTTTCCTAGAGAAAAAATGTGCTGGGAAAATACCCTTGATGTTAGAAAAACGCTCGTTAGCCAAGCAATGTCGAAAAAACGGTACTTTGGATATCAAGAAGTATTTACACTTCAATGGCAATACTGTTATTGATTCCTAATCTCGCTATTACAAAGTTCGTCCAAATTTATGAGCCGTTGTATGGAGCTATACAACAGTTTGGTGTGTTTAGGGAGCATTTAAATATTGATGAAAGAACTGTTCTTTATTTTAAAAAACATTGCTGCAAAATGTATATAAAAGGGAAACCCGTGAAATTTGGATACAAGCTCTGGATACTCACATCTTTCGATGGATATTCTTTTCATATAATACCATATCAAGAAGCACAGCAATACATTGAGTCTGAGATAAAGAAAGAAAAAATGTCATTATCTCAAATGGTTGTTGAAAATTTGCTATCCATTGGTGAAACTCCAGCAAAGCACAACATTTATATGGATAACTTTTTCACATCTTATGATCTTTTTGTTACCCTCAAACGTAAAACCTTTGTTACAGGAACTGTTAGAGAAAATAGGATCGGAAAAAATTTTCCTTCGAAATCACCTGAAATGTTGGGAAAGATAGATCGTGGAACATCCGACCGAAAGTTTGACTCAAGAAATGAAATTGCAAAATGAAATGCGAAAAAAGGAGAAAAAAAATTTTATTAGCCATTATTCATAAATGCGTTTAAGACATCATTGGTTGAAGCTGGGAAACATTTCATACTTTTTGGGCCTGAAAAAAAACTCTAGAACTTCTCGATTTCTCGACACATTATAGTATCTTGCCAAGGATTGAGCGTACCTCGAAATGTTGCAGGAAGAGGCTTAGGCGTTCAACAGAGAAAACCTATAATACAAACTGATCATATATTAATAAGAAATCCTAATAGAAAAAAACACCGTTGTCAGCTTACAAAAACTTTACGAAAGTACCTAAACTGTGTGCCAAAAATGTAATTTAGGACTTAACGTCGAATATTTCCTGCCATTTTATTCCACTAAGAGGCTTAATCACAACACACTTAGTAGTGGATTGGACCATCGTTTTATATACAGGACAGCTTGTAAATATTAAACCATTAAAGTTTTTTTTTAAAATTAAAGCTCTTGCTAAAATGGTTTTAAAACAAAAATTCGAAACATTCTTCCAATTTTTTAGATTTTAATTTATGAAAAATTTTCAAAGCAATTTTTTATTTATTTATTTTTTTAAATGGAAGTAAAACTTTTTCTACTGATATTTTTGGGTTAAAATTGTTCAAAACTTTCAAAACGATAAAATAAATTTTGTTTAATAATTCAAAAAGTTGCCTACATTCGTGCCACCTCAGTTTTCTGAAGAAGCATTGCATAGAGAGAGTTCATAAACTAAGAGGGTTTTCTTCACGCTCATATCCCCGCAGAAGAAAAAAGTCAGTGTTAGTGTGTAGGTTTTTATTTAAGTTAATTGGTTTTACAAGTTTTCAATATAACTTATAAATATCTTATGCAAATATATAGCAGAACAGTACTATACAGATTATTTAATGCATCATAGAATTGTTAAGTAACTTGTTCTGTTATGTTTTATTTATTTTTACTAGCTAACTATTGTTTGAGGCTTAGAATAACACTTTGTTTAAAACGTTACGTAATTGCCTACAATGTACGTAGTGTGCATTACTAAATCATATTGGTACGACTTAGAGCAACGTATTAAACTTCAACGTACTACTGAACAAATCGAGATTTAACCATACATGGCAGTACTTTTACTTTCGTTACTTACAACGAAAGTAAAAGTACTTACTTCTACTTGTACTTCGTTAGCTTATATTAATCGTTACCTTAAATTTAGTACTTCTACTTGTTATTTCGTTACTTTTTTGAAAAAAAAATACATGTATTTGTACGAGAATGTCGACAGAAATCACACTTTTTTCTTCATTTTTTTAAAAAAGTTCCTTTTAAAAAATAAAATTCTTTTAAATTTTAGAGAAATTTATTTTTTTATGTATGTTTATACATTTAATGTATTATATATTCTTCAACAGAAAAAGATAGCAATTTTGATAAGGAATCCGAACCCGAAAGTCATGGGATGTCCCCCTTCTGAGTATCCAGCTATCTGAACCCAGATAGCACCGTTACCAGATTGCAACAAAAGTGCGACAGTCATGAACACTCATTTTCTTAGTCGCATGTGACCTCTGCGACGTCGATGCGCAGGTTTTCGAAAGTTACTATGTCCGCATTTGGGTATGTCTCATTTGGGCGTCATTCGGACGTCGACACTAAACCACATTGAGACACAGTAACGTCACCGTGTGACAAGAATGAGACATATTCACGTCTAAGCTTAGTCACATGGTGACCCTATTGAGACGCAAAGGCCACAATTTCGTAATATCGTGACTCTGTTGAGAAGCGAATAAGTCGCATCTTTGTCACATGTTGACGCAGTTGAGGCGTAAATATCTCACTATTTTTATCACACGGTGACCATGTTGAGGCATGAATAGGTCACATGATGAGGTCATTGCGACAACTAAGTGTTTTAATGTGGTCTGGGTGACTTGAAAAAGTTACGTCGCCAAAGTCGGACACGGTCACTTTTTACAGACTCGCGCATCGACGTCGCAGAAATCACATGTGACTTCACAAATGAGTCATCGTGACTTGTCACAATCTGGGTTACGGTGGTATCTGGAGGACAGAATTTTGGTTGATTACCGAATATTTGGCCTACAATTAGTGATTCAATTTTAACATTAAGTTAGTTGATGTATTCATACAGTTCTTATTAAAAAAAAAACTTAGCTAATAATAAATAGTGAAAATAAATTTTGTTTTTTATTTTTCTAAACATAACAAAAATATCTAACATCTAAATATTAAAATATTTTATCAGAAGAAGCGGTGAATGATTTCGTATAGTTCGTTCTCACTAAATGATGAATTATATTTGTTGAGTTTTTATCTGTGATAATCATTGTTGGGATTTTTTCCAGAAAAAAACAATTTCTCCCAGAATGCAGGAACAAAGTGGGGAAAAAACCGGAAGAAAGAGAAGAAGCGGGATGAAATGACCAGATACATTTGTTTTACAATCATATTTAATGGATAGTTCAAAAAAAATACATTAATTTGAAAATTACTGTTTCGTCAATTTTTTTCCCGATTGCTTCAATTTTTTTAATGTCAATGTATTTTCTAGAAATTGTAAATAGTAATTTTGTTTTTATTAATTTTCTTTTTATTAAAACAAACTGCTATAATTTAATTATAAATTATAAAGTACTATTTTTTATCAATGAAATTTTAATATTAGTAAATTCTAAGCAGAATACTGTAAAGCTACCTAACTGTTACAAAAAAAACTTTGCTTCAACATTTAAATTTAAAACTTACAAGATTTATTTAAAGTAAATATATAAATGCATTTTAAAATATTCATTCGTGATTTTATGGGCATATTTTCAATATTAGAAAACGAAAAAGCCTTCAAACAAAGAAATTAAACAAACTTAAAAAAATGAAAAGTGAACTCAAAACATATCAATTTTCATTAATTATCAATCGTAAAACACTAATATGTTCTACTTAACCTCAAATCACAAGTTTTTAATTTACTCTCTAATATAAAAGCTTATATGCGAGAGAACAAAATAAGTTGAACTCATCTCTTTTATATAATTCTTCTCTATTTGTTGCGGAACAAATTGGAAATTACTAAGTTGAGAAATCTATTTTTGAAATAACCACTACGAAAGTTCAAAACATTATAAAATCACAGGAATACAATGGCTAAGCCATAAAAGAATCAAAATTTCAGAGTTTAAGAATTAATCAGAGTTGATTTGATCTGATTTCAGAGTTAATCAGAGTTTAAGTATAACATTCAACAAAAGTGATCACTTTTTCGAAACATTCAATATTTGGTGAGATCATCGTTGCAACAATTATCATTTGATTTTATATATTCAGACAAACAATATCAAAAGAGGCTATCCTTTTCAAAGATCGAGCATAGATTATCCAGTTGTTCGTCCTTTTTCACCAAACATTACAACTAAAAAGCTAAACATCATCAGTAAGCAAGTAACTTTTACTATGAGTGGAACAAATCTTTTATAACGCAAATGCCTGTAAGATCGTTTTGAACGGATCCAACACAAATCAATGAATCTTATAACATATCTTTTACAGACGACTATAGGGAATACTAACATGAAATTATACTAATATGAGCCATCGAATCACGAAATAAAACTAAATTACCAAAATAAACTATTTATTAAAAACTTTAAAATGAAAAACTGAATTAGAACATACTTCAAACTTCCAAAGTAGTTGGGAAAAAAGGCTCTGCGCCCCGAAACTCGCTTAAAGCCAAAGTAAACTGCTGTAGCGAAATCTCTAATCCAGCTGAAGCAGGCAAAAATATTCTAGGTAGCAAGAGTTTTAGAGCGCATGCGTAACAAATCAACAAATAACAAATGAGAAAAGATTTCTCCCAATAAGTTATCGTTAGATTATTCAACTACGGCAGAACATACCGCCGCCCTTGAAGTAACTGACTTCAACAATTAATAAATTAAACAATTATGCAAGAAAAGAAACAAATCATAATTTTCCAAACTTCATTGAACAAAACATTGAAAATACTTTTCCTTCTTTATTTATAAAAAAAATGGGCACCTGGGCCGCGCAGAAGGCCCCTATTCCATACATCATGAAATAGTATAAAAAGTTAAAATAAAAGACAGTTTGAGTTCAGCAGTCTATGGGGTGGCTGTTACAGGGAGACAAGCACCTTGCTTGTATAACTGAAAGAAAATGAAAATAATAAGAGCAACTTGCTGTAATCTGTGGATGGCTGTAGTTTGATTGTCAACGTGAAGTAACATAGGTCAGGATTTCAGTATTGGTAAAGTGTTTGATGCTGTGGACAATTGGTACTTTGGATTATTGATGTAGACTATAGATGCTGGAATTGAAGACTATTATTTGTGCTGATAGTTGTGGTATGAGGCGTCGGAGGTGAAATGAGCGGCTATTGGTCTTAGTTTATCGTCTTTTTTATAGTTCTCGAAGTTAAAAATCTGATTGAAGTTGGCTGTGCTGCATTTTATGGCTTTGTCGTAGAAGTCTGCATTTAATTGTGTATATATTCGGATAGAAACGGAATTTTGAGATCTTTATAACATTGAAAATACTGAAAACACTTCAGAGTATTATTTCCAAGAATTATTAAATTTAGCAATCTTAAGAATATCCAATAGAAAAATTAAACAATCATAAATCACAAAATCAAATATCTTAGAGTATAAATTTTGAAAATCACAAAAAAACACACAAAATTAAATTTTAAATTATTCTAACTAACTTAGAAATTTCAGAAATAACTGTGGTAACTAAATTTTAGAATCAAGAGGCAATAAACATAACCTTACAATTGGTCTTTTAATTATACCATTAACAGTTTTTAAAGATACAACTCGTATCTTATCGTCACTACCTGATAATGTCTGAATAACTCTTCCTAAATTCCATTTTAGAGGTGGTAAATTGTCCTTTTTCATGATCACTAAATCACCTACCTTTATGTTTTGTCGGCTGGCATACCATTTTGGACAATTTTGCAGCCGGGA